AATTAAAAAGTATAGCACTATACTAGTAAGAATAAGTAATATTATCTAGCTTAATATTATAATAAATAACCTTTTAAGCTCTTAAATACTTTAAAGTAAATAATATATATTATATAATACTTAAGTAATTAAGGAGTAAAAAAGGTATCTCTTACTTTATAAATAAAAAAGAGAGAACTTCTTTATATATTATTAATATATAACTATTAACCCCTATTACTTTTATAATATTCTCTTAGCACTTTATTAAACTAAGAAATTAAAAGAGCTAAGAAGAAGACTTATATATTTAAGCTACTTTAAAGTTATTACCTTTACTATTTAGCTCTTTATACTCTTATATATATACTAGTTTTTATCCTTAATAAATATTTTTATAGCTACTATAATAAGATATCTTAAAAGGGTATACTTAAAGACAGTTAATTTATTATTATAATATATATATTTAAATATTTATAAGTAATATATTAGTCCTGCTATAACTTAAGTATAAATATTAGCTATATCTCTTTTATTTAAAGTTATAATAGTAGCGGCTTAATTATTAGTAGTATCTCTAGCCTTTAATATATATTTATTATCCCTCTTTTAGCGCCTTACTCTCTTACTACCTTCTAGTTTATTTATAAGCTACTGTTTTTACAGCCCTTTTATAAGTGCTTTATATTAAATACTAACTATAAACAGTCTCTTATATAAGTTAATAATTATAAGTTTAAAAAACCTAATATTAAATAAGACTCTATAAGTACTAAAAGATATAAAAACAGTTAAAAAGCTAAAGAGAACTTACTTATTATCTTTATCCTTAAGATTAGTAAAAAGAATATATAGTTAGGATATACTGCTATATTTAAAAAAATATCTATCTTTTATTAAGTTAAAAATAACTTATAGTTTAACACTAGGTAAATCCTAATCCTTTAGTAAAAGAAGAAACCTAGTACTAGAATTTACTCTATATTAAATAATAATATATAATTTATTTTAGGCTAATCTTATAAGGAACTAATTATAATGCTCTACCTTACTTTAAAAAAGGATATTAAAATACTTACTTAAGAGCAGGCGACTATTAAAAGGGTATATAATAACTAAATAAGTATTTAACTACCTAAACTAGCCTGCAGTCTAAAGTGCATTATTAGAGTTAGCAGGCTAAAGCCTTAAAGATTAAAGAAAGGCGCTTAAATTATCTAATTATTTATTAACCTTAATTAAATAAGTGTTAGTAGTCTAGGGCTACTATAAGTTAGGAAATATATTAGTAATATTTAAGTAGTAAGTCTTAAGTAATTTAAAGTTAATAGGTTAAGGCTTTAGTAACTAATAGTTAGTGTTTAGTATATTTAACTCTTTATTAAGGACTAGAGTCTTTTTATTTAGTGCCTTTTATATATTAAAGACTATATTATAAGCCTTTTATAATATTATAAATAGAGTCTCTTATAAATCTACTGCCCTTTTATAATTATAAGCTAATTTTATATTTTCTTATAATTACTTTACTATATATAGAGACTGCTATAGCTGCTGTTTATATTAATCCTTAGCTATAGAATAAAAGGATTTAGACAGAGTTAAGTAAGAGGTGTAAAGCTTATTACTTATTAAGTCTATAATACTTCTTTAGCAGTAGTATATAAAAAAAGTTAAAAAACTTATTACTTTTATAAAGTAGATTTATAAATAAGGAAAAGACTAAATCCTACTATACTTTATAAATAGAAATAGAGTCTTAAATTAATAAGAAAGAGCCAGGTGTTTTAGTACTAGGGGGAAGAGGGGGACTGCTAAAGGGAAGAGTAAGGCTAGG